TTTTTCAACACTTGCTTTATCTTTCAATTACCAAACTGAATGCATTACAGTTTTAATTGAATATGAACTTATTTGATAGAAGATAGCTCTTCTCAAATGTTCCTATCTGATGTGCTATAGATCTCAAATGTCTTAACAATGTATATTGATTATTTTTTTTAATTTTAGTAATAGATAAGCCTGTTTCTAATACATAATTTTGATAACAAGAATCAAATAGCAAAATATTCTTATTTTGTCTATAACATTTCCATGGTATCTACTTGGTTGGAAAGAGCTGGCCAAGTTGATATGTTCTGGACTGCCCTTAATTAAACAATGCCATCTAACAGAACCTAGGAAACCTTCCTTCTCTGTCACGGCCTCTGGTTGAAATCCTTACAGAAATTCTTGTGACCCTCCCATCCCCAGGCCACACCAGAAGACCCTGAAAAAATAGATATACTCCCAGGATTTAGGGGTAGTGTGGATATGGTCCTGTTAATAGACAAGTTTTTTTATATTGTTGGATGGATTACCTGTATGTTTAATTACATTGTGATATGCATTTTATATTCTTTGTTGAGAGAGAGCTAATAGAAGCTGAGCTCTAACAAAACTGACATTATAAGAGGTCCCAGCTTGTAGTCATAAGCAGTGATAACTGTTTATTCATTTTTAAATATTAAGAGATAATTTAATTTTGACCAATTGTAAAAATTGCCTATTGTGTTAAAAACTTTGTAGGGCAGCAAACTTGCTTTTAAACGCTTAAAAACTGCAAAGAGCAGAAATAATTTTTTTAATCATAAGCATATTGGTGTTTTGAATTGTGATGAAAATGGAAAGCTTAGGATTTCAAAGGAAAGATACACATGAGTATAACAATTTGCTTCAAATGTCTGCAATTCTTGGAAGTGCAGCATGCACAGCATGACTCAGTGCGGCTTGGATGAGAAATGGTAGTGAATATTTGGGTTGGAGCCTTTCCATCAAAACAAACTGAATGCAACCTGGAATTTAAGCAAAGGATGTGCCTAGCTGATAGAAAAGATGCTGCATATGAATATCATCTGCCAACTTTTGAGAAAGGTCTCAAAAGGGTCATGCCTAATGATATGCCAGAATACAAATTCCTTTCATAGTTTTCCTGGAGCTCCATGAACAGCAGATAAAGCAACCTCTGGGGAAAAATATGATTTCACGTGTTCTTTAAATATCAAATTCTAAGGTAAAAAAATGAATGACAACCAGACTATGGTACTTTTGTGAGTGAAAACAACACATTATCTTTCATCAGATAGAAATTCATCTTTCTGTCTTTTTTATTATTTTTTTATTAACAAGCCTGTAAAATATACACACACAAAACTTAGATGTACACTTTACACAATACAATATGAACAGGAGCTTCCTGTTCTTTCTAATAGCAATTATCAATCGATACCGCTCACCTTATATTATTTCCCCTTCTATTATATTTCATTTGGATTTCACCATTCTTAACCCTCTTATTTTACTCATAACTATTATTTTTGAGTTTTGTTAAATTCCTTCATTGATTCTTGTTTCCCCCATCCACCTATACAATTTATCCCATATCTGGTAGAATTCTGATTATTCTTTTCCCTGGATTTCTTTAGTTAGTTTGGCC